TCGTCCCATTGTTAGTAGAGGTGCTGGAGTTTTGCTCCACAGTCCTGACTCAGGGTCCCTCCAAAGTACTTGCGGCAGGGGCTGTGGGACAGTCAGTCCCTGCCAGTGCTTGGCCATTGGAGAAATTCCTTGATCATTTAGTGTGAAAAAATTTAAAGTTAGTAGAGACCTGTGTAATAAGAAATGAGGATTCTGTACTGTTATCCCAGGTATAGGTGATTCCCCAGGTTTTAATTTTAATTGTTTAATCTTTGAGGCATTTGTGTTGTCTCACTATTATTGCTTGTCCTGTGGTGTTGTAAGGAATGCCAGTGGTATGTGAAATACCCCAAGTTTGGCAGAATTGTTGAAAAATTTTACTAGTATAGGAGGGCCAATTATTGTCCTGGGTTGCTGTTACCCAGGAAAACAAATCTTGATTTTTTTACTGGAGCAATTGCTGCTTTACATTCTTGAGTTGAGCCATCATAAGCAAGTTGTTTTATTAAAATCTGGGCAGCTTCTATGTGAGGAACCTTAGCCTCTACTGCTCACCGGACCCTAGCTAAGAATTCAACCCATTGTTCCTGTGGCTTTTGTTTGAGATCAGCTAAGCTAGCTCTCGCTGTCTCACTATCCGGTGTGGATCTCCAGGCTCTCAAGGCACAGAGGCACACCTGATCAAAATATTGAGCCAGTAAAACCTTTTGTGCCTCAGCATCAGCATATTGACCTTTGCCTTTAAGCATGTCAGCTGTCACATAAACATTAGCTTGAGGATTTCTTGCTGCTTGCCCAGTGCATTCATCATAGTATTTAGACTTAAAAAGTAGCCATTGTGCCAGGGACAAGGCAGCCTGGGCGAGGTGTTTGAAGTCCCAAGCAGTGACCAATTTACAGCTAAGCTGATCAAAGATGGCCATGGCAAAAGGACCATGTATACCATTTTCCATCACTGCCTTGCGCATTGCTTTTAGCGTTTCAAAGCCAAAAGGACTATGTATTCTAAGTTCAGGGTTGTCAGCTACTGCACGGCCAGCTGGGATGTGAACCGGAAAGAACTGAGGGGATGGATATGGCAAGGGAGCCAGAGGTTCTCTAGAGAAAGTGCCTCCTGTGGGCAGATTTTGAAACATGGGAAGGAGAGATTCAGGGTCAGAAGCAGAGGGCGAAGTATAAGAAACATATGCCATGGGGAATGTCGAGGGACAAGGGGACATGGGGAGAGATCCTAAAGTGGGGACCACCTCCCCCTCTCTAATAGAATTAGAGGCGAGTGGTTGCATTCCCAGAGGCTGTGCCACAGCAGGAGGGAGTGCAGGCAGCTCCATAGCACCCAGAGGGGGTGCCAGCAGCTGAGTAGCAGCCTGAGAAGATTCCTGCTGTTGGGCTGTTGTGGAGGGAGGACTGGAAGGGGAATAAAAATGATTCTGTCATATGCTGTAGTGCCGTGGTTACTTGGAGTATC